GGGGGGGGGAGGGTGTAGTGGCAGGGTGCGGGCCCCAGGGGGCGCCCTACTCACCGGGACTTGGCTGGACAGGGGGAAGCCGCTGCCGGGACTCTTCTTTTTGTTGTTGTTGTTGTTGTTAGCTCCGCCTCCTCCGCTGATGGTGCTGCCGCCTGACATCTTACGCTTCCGCCTCTTGTTGGGGGGTTGTCTCGAGGGTTCGGCTGCAGAAAAGGGGGGGCGGGGGGGTGAGAGGGGGTGGGGGGCAGAGAAACAGCACGGAGGTCAATTGGGGAGCTCAGAGAGGCTGTGTGCAGGCGGGTTGTGAGCAGCCGAACGGTCACCCACCGGGAGGGGCCACCATCCTCTGCCATTTCTGGAAGAGGCAGGTCTTGAGGCAGTCTCTGGGGCTGAGGCTGTACGTCTTGTGTCTGGACATCAGCTCCTGCATGGGCTCCAGGATCACACACAGCTGGAGGGGGGAAGAGAGGGGTCAGACCAGTCAGAAAAAGACCCATTAACGGCCGACAAGTTCATCCATCAGGGAAAGACTTTTCTTTTTAAAACTGAATTTCCCCTTGGGGATCAATAAAGTATCTACAGTGGGGGAAATAAGTATTTGACCCCTTACTGATTTTGCAGGTTTGCCCACTTACAAAGAATGCAACGATATATAACTTTAATCATATGTACATTCTAACAGTGAAAGACAGAATCCCAAGGAAAATTCCAGAAAATCACATCATATGAATTTATAAATAAGCATTCTTTGTAAGTGGGCAAACCTACTAAATCAGCAAGGGGTCAAATACTTATTTCCCCCACTCTATCTATCTATCTATCTATCTATCTATCTATCTATCTATCTATCTATCTATCTATCTATCTATATATATATCTATCTATCTATCTATCTATCTATCTATCTATCTATCTATCTATCTATCTATCACATACAGGAGTTTAAACTAAATTCCTGTAGGGGAAGATTCTGGGAAACTTTGTGCGCACCAAGAAGCTCCAGTTAAAAAGTTTTACAGGCAGAAACAGACCTTTAAACACTGATTAATCACTGTGTCGTCACACTGGTGGGTGGGTTTGTTTGTTTGTTCTGCCGGCGTCGTCCTGACAGCGGTTAGGGGGGGTGTTTAAGAGTTTCTCCAAAATAGATTCATCCTTTCATCCTCTGCTCTGTTAGCCAAATAAAGCTAAGCGCACACATCAGCAGCTTTGAAGTTTTGAGCTGTTTTAAATGGTTAAAAAAAAGAAAAAGCATCTCTTTGTTCTGACAACCTCTTAGACTGGTTCCCCTGTTAAAGCGCCTCCCATATTCCCCAAATTCAGATCATGATCAGGGCTGACTTTGAAGCTCTAAACATGAGCAGAAGTTTTTTTAAAAGCACCTGTTACTCGATTTGTTGTTCTGTAAAACCTGGGGATGAATTACAAATCCAGCCTGACAAGACGGTGCAGGCAACAAACCTCTGCCGACTTACGTCTGAACGAAACAACGTCATCACTTTAGCAAGTTCGAATCATTTAATCGACTGCTAATAGAGCTAACAGGCTGCTGCACCTCTCACAGCTAAACCAGAGCCCCGCTGGAGCCCGAGACCTCAGTAACGGATCATAGCTGTGTGCCTGTTTTCTGGAAGTCTGCTCTTTCACCCAGAAATAACACCACAGAGATCCTAATCAACTCCCGGAGCCGAGAGCTGGACGGGCCGCTGGCAGTGGGCTGCTAGTGTCCCCATTAACGTGTAAATGCCGCTACTTTAATAGCAGGGACGCAAGAAAATGACCGGTGGGGATCTTTGAGAGCTCAGGAAAAGGACAACGACCAGCCCAGAGGTCTGAAACCGGGATGAGATGGAATCGAACACTTCTACTGTCTCGGATGCTGTTGAATGTTTGGTGTTTCGGGACGTGCGTCGATCTTTGAGCTGAAATCAGGCAGCATCTGGATGCTGGAGCTCTAAAGCCTCTGGCCTTCGTAACCTCTTTGCTCTCATGCTGCTGTTTTTCATCGAGATCAGGCGTTTCAAACAGTTACTGCCTCAAAAACTTCCTCGTTCTCCTGTAAAAAGAGCCAAACTTGAGCTGGACTCACCCGGAGGTAGTTGAGGGTGGAGTTCGACAGGCCACATCTCGTTATGTTTTTGGACAGCTGGTCCAGCATCTGTGGGTCTTGGGCCTGAAACATTAACAACAATATGAAAAATAATAAATAAATAAAAGCACACAACACAGAGGACACCATGAAGGATCTGAGTGTGTGAGGGCCCCTCACATGCATGGCCAGTATACTGCGGGGGATGAGCTCCCGGTGCTGTCTGATGCTGAAGTGCCACGTCTTTATCCTCATCATGTCATCAAACATGAACTCCAGGTACAAACGTCCCTCCACACACACCTGCAGGGGTTCACAGGGGGCCGTTAGCAGGGAGAAAAGTCCCCAGAAGCCAACGTGTCCACGGCTTTACGCGTTAGCCTTTTAAGAATTAAAAAAACAACAAAAAAAACAACCCACCTGTGTGAACATTGGCTTTCCGTTCTGGGTCACCATGGTGCACTGGTCGCAGTCGAGGGAGACGAAGTTGTTGTGGAAGGACTCCTTGGGATGCTTCAGCACGTAGTAGAGCTCAGTGGCCCCGCCCTCGAATATACTCCTGAAGTATCGCGGAATTAACGTCCGGCCAATTGCTGCAAAAGGAAACGAGGAGCCTTTCGAAAGAGGTTGGAAACCGACTTCCTGCCTAATCTAACATATGCAGCTAAACCAGAAAACTTAAGGGAGACATATTATACCCTATTTCAACAAGTTAATCTAGCTCCCTGGTGTCCTAATGTAATGTCTGTGACAAGCTTTGGTCAAAATCCCATAAGGATGAAGCCCAATAGCAGTTCAGTCCTACTACCCACTCCTGAAACGTCCTGATTTATCTCCTGTGTTGAGACTCAGGCAGCCCACAAAAACATGACTGAGTCATTTTGTTTCACACTTTGCCTGCTGATAGGCCCTCCACAGTCCCAAATGTACATAATCAAAACTTGGTTTTGCCTAATATGTCCCCTTTAAATGTAAATCTGCATTATGTGACGATATTCTACAAATATCCAGACGTAGTTTGTTTGAAAGCGGCTCTTTCACATTTCTTTTCAAGACATCTCTTTTAAAATGACATCAGAATGTAAAAGTAGGGCTATTTTAACCGGATTAAAACCCTCGGGGAGAAGCTAGCAGGTTCCTTACTGTAGCGTTTGGGCCCATCTTCCAGACAAAAGGTGATGGTCAGCATAGCATCGTCCTCGAAGAACTCTGTAGTGAACGCGTCCCACCACAGGTTGTCACAGTCCTGGGAAAAAAGACAAAAAAAATCAAACACACATCCAATGGGAGCGGCCTGCGTTTGTGTGGTGGAAACACACCTCTGTCCAGTTCTGTAGCCGTTTGTTGAGCTCGAATATTCTGTAGTCTGTCTGGTTGCCGTACGGCGTGTGCCTCCTGGAAGACCACAGGGGGGCGAAAGGGAAAAGAGGAGGCCAGCCGTCAGCTAACGGCAGCAAACGGCAGCTTCCCCCCACCGGACTCAACCCAGACCACACCGTCCCAACATTTCACAGCAGGCAGAAGTAATGCGGCCTTACCCTATTCCTGGCTCCAGGTATGTGGGCGGGTACATTGGAGTGGGACTGGAGGGAGAGCAGACAGAGACTCTGTGACTGGGCTGGTCCCGATCCCATTTCTGGATCGGACCGGCCGCCGCCAATATTTGCAAAAAAAGGAACTGCGTATCGGCCGGCATCCAGACTCCTGATCCAGTTTTTTTTAAAGCACCAATTAAAATAATCCATTCCACTTTGCCGTGTTGTTCCCTAATATCCGGTCCAGTCATTTTCCAGCACACCCTTAAGCATTAGCATTAGCATCTCTAACTCACAGGTCTGTGTCCTAACCATTAAGTTGATATCAGAGTAAATCCCTGTTCAACATGAGTCTGACAACTAAGTAAGAAGATAAATAACTTTAAACTTTAACACATGCTCTGATAGGCCGGGATCGGATGGGAATAGCCAAAAGCTGGATCAGGACATCCCTAGGTCCTACAGGCTCATTCTAGGTCCTTCAAACTCATTCTGGGTCCTACGAAGCTGGTCCCGATCCCATTTTTGGATCGGATCAGCCGCCGATATTCCCAAAAATCTGCATATCGGCCGGCAGGAGAAAATGCAGATCCAGACTCCAGATCAAGCTTTTTTTAAGTCCGATCCCACATGAGCGTTAGCATTAGCATCTCCTAACCCACAGGTCTGTGTCCTAACCATTAAGTTGTTATCAGAGTAAATCCCTGTTCAACATGAGTCTGACAACTAAGTAAGTAGCTAAACTTTAAACTTTAACACATGCTCTGATAGGCCGGGATCGGTATCGGATGGGAAGAGCAAAACTCTGGATCGGGACGTCCCTATCTGTGACTTTGGGCTTTAGTGCTCACATGTCCTCCCCCTGGAGGAGGTCCGTCTCCGGACCCCGCTGTGATACTAGAGCGCCGAGCATAATAACATTTCCTCACATCGCACACAGACGAGTGGAGCAGCAGAGCAAACGGCGCCGCGGTTTAATCTCTAACCTCGCAGCGCCACGCACGTCAGCCCCGCTGATAAAAACACGCCGAACGGCGAGATAACGGCGAGCCCCGCTCGGCAGATTTTCTGCCTGCGTGAAAGTTTGTGGAGGCAGAAATCTACAGAGAGCTGAATAACAGCAGAATAACCACTAAGACAGGAGAAGAGCGGGTGCTGTTTGACAACCCAAAACCTCCCATTCATACAAGTACGTCCCATAAAAGGCTTCAGAGTCAGACCCGACTAACAATAAATCATTTCCCTCTGGGATTATTGAAGTATTTCTGATTCTGAACAAAATTATCAAAAAAAGCCTCACATTCAGCATCTGGTTCTGAGAAAAAACTCCATCGGAGTTACATTAAAGTCTTAAAACTCCCAACTAGCATAACGTGCAGTTATTCTGCCCATAATCAATTTTTTTAGCAGACTACTTATGCTTATTAAGATCTGTGCCTTTATTTACTTCCTGACTTGGGCGCCGTGTGATTTAAATCTGAATGAAAGCTCTGATGGTCACTACCTTATACAGAGTTATAAAAAAAACTGTAGATATTTGATGAAATCCTGTTTTATTGGGAGATGAACAGCGTGAACTGCATGGATGTGAAACTCACCCCACGTCTCTGTCCAGCATGGTGCCGGGGTGGAAAGGGGGGAAAGTGCTACCGTTGGGGGGCTCCTTGGGGGAGTACAGCTTGAACGACTTGGAGGAACAGCCTGCAGGATGTGGGGACAAACAAAGACAGGACAAATATGTAAATTTGTCAATTTCTGCCGCAACAGACCCAAAGGATATTTATGACTTTAGGCAATAGGGATTTAAAACATCAGCATAAATCAAACAGGATTAAACAGCCAAACCAAAGATGAGTTTATGTGCAACACTTGAGAATAAACTGTGTTTTTCCACGTAATCAAACAAACACAACTAGCGTCCTTCAGTTATGGCTGACTAGCGATTTTTCACTAAGAATAAATTAGTAAAAACAATAAGAAAAAACTAAAAGCGTCCGTTTTGACTGGCAGCTTTCATCTCCTCAACGTTTTCAACATCAGTTGCAGGTTAACAATGCATCCCATCAGGACACAGAAGGGAGCTTCCTGCTTCCCACATCCAGAAACATCCCCCCCACCCCCCCCAAAACCACTCTCCATAAAATAACTTGTAAATATCAAATAGCAGCCGGCCATACGCACTCCTAAAGCCGCCGTAAAACAGACTGATGCCTCTCTCTGACACAAACGGCTCCAATCCCCTCTTTACTTTAATTGCCCGGCTTCCTAATAAAGGCCATCCAGGCGTGGCGGTCCACAGGTCACGACCCCCACCGTCGCCATAGCGAAGCCCCGCCCCCTAAATGTCCCCGTGTCTTGTCACTGCATTTTAAAACATATCAAACCTGCACGCATGCAAGGATAAATAGGCTCAGATGCCCAGGCTTCATTAGTGGGATTTTATCAGAGGTCGAATTTGTTAATCGATAACAAAGCGATCATTTGAAAATTTACAATAAACAAACAATCGTAAAGCAGCAATGTTGTTGTAATGACTTATAACCGCACACCATAAAGATAACTGACTGCTGTCTAATGGAAAGACAGACCAAACTCAAGGGCTGGTGTTCCTGTGGGTAAAAATAACTGTGTGTTTGAAATAAGACTGACTGATTTATGGCTTTATTTCATAGTCAGCCGTCTCCAGTGTGTGCGTCAATGAAAGCAGCAACAAGCCTAAACTTTTATCCATAGAGACAGTCACAAATCTTCCATCTTGATGTTAAGAAAAAAAAAGAAAGGCAGCAGAAAAAGGCCATCCATTTGAAACCATGCCTCCTCACTTTGTGTAGGAGCCAGTGGCTCAGCCTGCAACACTATGCTATGGGCTGGGAGCACCACCAGAAGATTGATAAATAAATAAATAATCGATGGTTCTGTGTCCATTAGTTGTTGAAAGCTCCATTAGCTCCTCTCCTCTCCTGTTAGCGGTTAATGACATGCAGTCACAATCACATCAACTGGATTCCACTTCCTCCACAGGGAATCGTGCTCCTCTCCCTTTACAAGCAAACACAGCACATTATATTTACATATAAACACACATATCTGGGACGTATATACTGCTGATATCCTCCTGGTTTCAGCTACCTCCAGTAGCACTTATAGCTTGGTCTTGTGATTTGGTATGAACGTGAGCACCTCGACGGTTTTCCCTTCACTTTTTACACGATCTATAACAACTAATTGTTGCCTAAATAAGAATAAAATGCCGTGTTTTGGGATCCGGGTCTGTCCAGAGGGTTGCTAAGGGGGGTAAATATCTACAGCCGGGACCTGGTCGGGACCCAGACAGACTGGGTCGTGGGTTTAAAGCAAACTAAATACCCATTTTCACATTTTACACCGTAATTTAATTCAATATAACCCTTCCGTGGCTAATATTCGTACTTCGACAGAAAACGGGATATCGCCGTGGAGCCGCCTGGCTACAAAGGCAATTAGGCTAACCCATAGCAACAAGCTAGGCTAAAGCATCAACTAAGTCGTTTCGGAAAGCGGCTGATCTTCTTGACAAAACACCAGCCGGCGATTACGCCAAACCAATTACACACACGTGTTGATATAGACTAAAAGAGGGGAAAAACAACCTTCACATATTCTCCCCCCCAGCAGTGCCCCGGAGGCCTGGAGGACAGGCTAGCGTTAGCTAGCTAGAAAACACTCGGTAGATAGCTAGCTTGTAGCCTTCGTGCTAACGCCTTAGCGTTAAATCCCTTTTCGGCGAGAAACCGCCTAAAAATGGCGATAAATCACAAAGGCAGGTGCTCGGGAGACCAAACACAACCGCAGAGGCCCGCGGACACCGCGATACAAGCGTGTGTTTTGGGGCAAAAACGACCCTTTACCTGCGAAGAAGTCCAATCAGAAAATTGGTGTTTACAGATCCGTGATGATAGACCGTGTGCACGCTCCGTGCGTAAAAACGGATAGGCCCGCTGGACGCGACGTACCCACACAATACGTCCCCCTTTCGAAAAAAGGATCAATAAAAAAATCCCCCTCAAACCGCGAGGCTGCGACGAAATAAGGCCGATGGTGCGGGAGAGGATGGCTTATTTTTGTCCCGCATGAGGCCTCGTCAGTGGGCTGGAGCCTGCTGTGGGTTTACATACGGACCCCGATGAGCCCTTTGTTCACGGGAGGACATGAACAATAGCTGTAGGCCCTCCTCCTCCTCCTTTCCGTCTGCAATGCATTTGCTCCTCTCTCCTCTGCCCAGCTCTGCTAGTCGCCCTCTCCCCCCCCACTCCTCCTCCCCCTCCCCCCCCCACCCCCCACTAATGCACAACTGCATATAAAGGTTGTCTGGTAAGCATTTTTTTCCCCCTTCCTCCTCCCAGCATCCCATCCCATCCCATCCCTTTCCTCCTAACTGACACAGATGAGAATTGGCCCCTAATGCAGCCGACTGGAAATGTGCGTTGAAAACAAAGATCTCGCCGGCTTGCAAAGTGCTTCCCGTGTTTCCCTAATTAGTGCAAGTCAACTTCTGTGCACTGGGCCCGACCCGCCCGCCCCGGGCCTGCAGGCAGGATGCAAACGCAGCCGGAGGAGAGCAGCCCGATCAGCCAGAAGCAGATTAAGATCTTATGAACTTCTACGGAAAGATGGCAGGAAGGGGGGGCTGCTGGGAATTAATTGTGTCTTTGCAGTTTGTACACTCAAAAGTCTCCAGTGTGGATCAG